CGGGAGTCGCAGGGTGTCACTGATGGATTGTCACGCGTGTTCGGCGTGTCACCGAACCCGCGTGCGGCACCGCGGCTGGCTCCGGGCGGTGTCGATGTGGTAACATAAAGGCTGTGGTAAGCGTGGTACAGTCACCCGCCTGTACAGTAGGTGTGATAAGGTCACAGCTCCGATTGGGAAACTCGATCCTTCAAAGGACACCCTTGTCATGATTATCAGGCTCAGGTTGCTGGTAGCCATACTAGTTTCACTGCAGACTTATAATTACTCTAAAACCAAGACTTAAAACTTCTTTTTGCTTGGAATTTAGTCATTTGCAGCACTCCTTGGAGGCTTTGGTAACTTGTGGTGCTTTCCCGCCTACTTGTATGTCTTTTTGCCACAGAGCATGCATATTTTTAATATCCAAAGGCACAGTTTGTTATCAGTTTATTTTTTTTAAGCCATTAAACCTTTGGAACAGAAAGTATTTCCAAATCCTCCCAGGGCAAAAGCATCTATTCACATGTGCCAGCTGAAAGCTGTTTCCATGGAATTTCATGTTGATTATGCAGCATTGCCCAACGGACTTCACCTATTAGTTTCTGACTTCTCTGGAAACCTCTCTAGATTTCCCAAGTTTATTCACCATAAGAGAAGATTGTTTGCATACGGATGTATTGCAGGATCAAGGTAGCTAAGAAAGGAAATTGAGAAATTGAATTAGGCCCTTAATCAGAAATAGCTTTAAAAATTGTATTTTTGTTCTTTTCATTTGACTCATGAAAGTTGCGTCATAGCTTTAAACCTTTCCTCCTCAGCAGAAGAACCAAAGAGTCAAGTCAGATTCCTTTGGGTTTTGCATATCTTAATTTTACTTGAAGTTTGTGAGATTGTTTATATCAAAGCTGTGCACTAACAATTGTAGGACCATGCCTTTTTTTTCCTTTCCCAACAAAAGCCATCTTATTTTCCTGTGTTCCTTGGTTCAAAAATGCAAGGCTTAATGAGGACATACAGACTCCTGAATAGCCACTCCTAATTGCATTGCAATTGGTTATTACTGGTAATCCTACAGGCAGGACAGTGTGGCACTTCTGAATTTGGCTCACATGCTTTTGCATTTGGATGGCATTGTGAGGTGTGTTGTAGGTAGGACTAGTCTTTGGGAGTGTGGAATCTAAACTAGATTTAGAGATGGGAGTCTATGAAGTAGCAGATTTCCTGTGCTCCTTTTGAGAATCAGCCCTCTAGACTGGGGACCTGCTTTGAAAAAGTTGTCTTTTTAAAACCTCTAAATTTTCTGGGTCTCTACAGGCTGCTAAGTTTCTGAGTTTCAGACCTTCCTTTGAATGAAGAGATTCTGATGTTCAAAACCAACCTGTGTTTAATGTTTCTGTCTAGAATTCCAGTTCTCCAAGTGCTGTAGCCCCTTGCACCATTTTCTAGAATACTTCTCTTACAGTATGGGAATAATAAGACAGGAATGTGTTTATTGCAATTGGTATATCAAGCCGAAGAGAATTATTGAGCAAAAATCTGTCGTGATCATATTCATCTAACCCAAGTGTGACTTCATGCAGAAGTTATGTTAGTATTTCATCCTAGGCAGAGCCCTCCTGCCATCAGTTCAGAGAGTGGCTCTTCCCTCCTGTCCTGATTTGATGTTGCCTCTTGGTTTGGAGTCCAGGCTGATAAGACTCTCTTTGCCCACTGGGCTTCTGTGTACTACTACATAGAATTTGTAGAGCAGCTAAGGGATAATCAAAATTCATGGCCCTGTCAAAGCATATAAGCAAAGGTTGTCCAGCATCTTAGTATGGGCTTATACTTTGCCTTAACTATGAATCAAGAGCCTGGCAACTGGCCAGACCTTTTTATTGATGCATTTCTGGTTAATAATTGACACAGATTTATCTGATGTCAGTTATCAACATTTGGAAATGCTTCAAAAAAGAATAATCAGGTAGATTGTCTCAAGACATTCCATTTCTAAATCTTTTATGGTGACTCATAACGGCAGTCTTTTACATTTTTCCAATGGCAATTCCAGACTTGCTTTTAACTACTGATATATTGATATCTCTTATGCTAGAAGAAAATCCAGCGCTGAAATGGGTACCTGGGATTGAAGAACTCGAAGAAGAGATAAAACTGTCTTAATTTCTTGAAGACAGTGATTATTCAGTTAAGCTCATTAACAGATTGTTCTCACAGAATATACTGAGTCAGAAGGGACTCACAGGAATCATTGAAGTCCAGCTCCTGGCCCTGAACAGATGTCCCAAGAGTCACACAATGTGCCTGACAGCGTTGTCCAAATGCTTCTTGAACTCTGTCAGGCTTGGGGCTGTGAGCACTTCCCTGGGGAGCCTGTTCCAGTGCCCAGCCACCCTTTGGGTGAAGAACGTTTTTCTAATTTCCAAACTAAACTTCCCCTGACACAACTTCAGGCCTCATGTTTTGTCACTGGTCACCACAGAGATCCGTGTCTGCCTCTTTTTGAATGTACCAGCTATGTGTGTATGTTTGACTTATTATTACCACCAAAATTGAATTCACTAGTGATATATGAAATCTGGAGAACTAGCATCTCCTTTTGGACATAAATGTTTCTTCCTGATTTATTATGTATTGCATCCTATAACTCTTGTAAAGGACTGACTCTCAGTGACTTTGGAATGCTGTCTTTTTGTACCTGAAATAGATTATGTTCTGGGGAACAGACGGAAAATATTTGTCATTGAAACTCTATGCAAACGGTTTTCCTAACATACTGTTGTAAGCATGACTTTTGTGGCACTGAAAACTCTCTAAATATCGAGGATCCTTTTAGGAGTTCTGATTGATACCAAGGTTTATAGCCACACTTAGGTTTTGCTCCGCATTCACCTTATGGAGGAATGAGAATTTCCTAGTGTGTTCTGCTGCAAGGGAGTCCCTTAGGATGACTATGCTGTACAAGAAGTGTTGTATTCTGTAGTGTCAAATACACTGCTGAGTCTCAGACATTATCTCTGAGGATCTTCACATCATTCAAACATAAATGCTAAGTTGAAATCAGTTACTTGGCTGCTTTTCTTCAATCAATACCGAGGAATTCCTTGAAAAGGATGGAGGAGCCTTTATTAGCTCTCTGAGCTGATCCTTGAGGAAACACAAATCAGTCAGCCAGGCTTCCCTTTGTGCTAAGCCAGCACATGCCAGTCTTTTTCCAGTGACAAAGAGGCAATGCGTGAGGAATTGGGAAAATATAAAATATTTGTAAATTCTTTGTCTGTGCATACTGTATGTTTGAATTCTGGGTACATTTGTACACATATGTATAAAAAGAAGTATAAAATACATATGCACAAAGGTTTATGTTCTGAAATTTGAGCTGTGGTTTCTCCTGCAAAGAATGCCAGTAGAAAACATTTTTTCCCAAGTACTGTGTGCATTGGTACAACTTCTGACACGACAGAGGCCTAATTCTGCCTATCATCCAAATTAATAGATATAAATAGTTACTAATCATGAAAAATATAATTTACGTATACAGATGTATCAGTATCTCTAACAAGCACAATGTTTTCTAGTTCTTTTGCTTGGTAGTAAAGTACTAAGTTCACTTTGGTTTGTAGGACGTGAATCTTGGTTTAATTGGTAACTTTGTAGTCTCTAACATTCAGAAATCTGGAACTATCCCCAACAGACATCAGGGAAAAAAACTCTTAATTAATGCTTAACTCCAGACACTGGAGTTTTTCATCCAGCTTTCCCCCCCCTTTATCAAGTTATCTTGCATCTATTTTCAGATGCTGAGCAGATGCTAAGTAGGTTATTCAGTTTGTAAACACAGATAATTATACATGGAGATGTTTTTCTTGTGTTGTTAAGTGCGTGAGCCATTTTTTATACTGGGTAATAAATGTGTCTATTTTTCCTGAGATTAGGTTGTTTTGTCTATATCCAAAGTGATTGTTATATGCAATATTTATGTTTTTCCCTGCTGAAAAAAAAATACCTGAAAAATTTTTGCATGAATTTCTGTGTTTAAACAGTGTAAAACTAGAAAATTTCAAAACCACTGCTAGTATTTTAATTCCTTTTTACATGTTTAAGGATTACTCTTTTAAGTGGCCATGTGAGACTTGACTATGTCAAGCTGTAAGAAAGGCATTGCTTACATAAATAAAAATTTACAGAATATCTGCCAAAACTAGCTGTAGATTCTGTGGAAGATTCTCTAATGCTAACCTTTACTTCAGGTCAAAATTATTTTAGGTAATTAGATTAGGTTTTCAAAATCTGAGAACTCTTCAGCACTTTGTGATTTTCTTGCCAAGGGAAGTATGTTTTAGGCTTAGCCAAGTTATGTGTCTGAAAGGTGCACCACTTACTTGTGTCATGGAAAGTGTCCAAAGTATCCCAACCAAATATTTACTCCTTAATGGGTGTGCTAGTAGGTTAACTGTGCCTTCTGTAAAGATCTTGAGTGCATCACAAGCTGAAAACACTACTCTCTTATTTCCAAAGTCCAAGAACTTAAATCCTTGTTGTTTCCAACTTGGAAAATGTAAATATCATGAAATTGAGAAACTAACTGTATTGACTAGACAGGATTATTTAGATTATTGAATGAATGTGTCATTTTTATTCTCATCTTAGTTTTTCCAGGGAGTTCTTCAAAGAGGTGTTTAAAATATATATGTTCATGAAGTTGTGGTACCACAGATTTTAGAAGAAAAGTGACAAATGACAAAGCTGCAGATGTTTGCATAGCTGTTTTCAGGGTGGTTCTGTATTTTGCTGCTGTTTCAGAGTCTGTTTTGGAAAGACCAAGGAAAAAACATATTAACATTGCTGCCTGGCACAAAGCAGTTGGGATTGCTCAAACAGTGCCCTTTGTAGGCAGTCAAGTGCTGACAGAGTGAGATAATCAGGGTACCTCAACAAGCCTATCCTTGCAATTATAGTGAAATTCTGTTCCACAAATTAACTTCCTTTCCCTACTTCCTCCCTCTTTCCCTCGCCTTGTTGTTTGTTATTTTTAAAATTAACCTAGGCCAAAACTGATTGAATGCAGTCAAGAGACTTCTAATAAAATTCTCCTTATGGTTAAATGTTTCTTTCTGTGGTCATGGTTTAGGATGAGGCTTTTATCCATTTTTTTTCACCTGCCAAATCAAGTGGGATTCTAGCATGGTATATAATTATTTTCAAAATTTTTTGGATCTAAATACATATTTATAGGCTCTATTTCCATTAAAAATGTAGCTAATTTCTGATCCGTGTACCATGTCTTTTTATGTAAATTTTACTGATAAACAATAATTTATAAATAGTTTCCTCATGGCAATTTATTTGTGAGACCTCAAAAATCATTCAAGACCTTAATCTGAGTAAAAAAGCATTAAGCTGATGAAAAAGTATTTTTTATGTAAAATGATACAAGAAGATTGAAAGCAGAGGGAAGGGTAAGAGATAAGACTACTTATCTGACATGAGCATGCTGTGAGCTACATGATGGTGAGTTTCAGGTCTCCCTCTAAGAGCCTGGTAGGGATGAATTCAATTTTACTGAAGTTCCTTCTGATAATTCTTCCAATGAAAATGCTGAAGAAAATTATACTTGCATAGATACAAGAAATCTGTAAACTTTTTAAGGTTATATTATATTAGTAGGACCTGACAGCTCTTTTAGCTTTAGTGTTTCTGTTGCGAAATATGGAGTAATTGATAAAGGAAAAAATAATTTCTGTTAATACAAATTATAGAAAATAAAAGACTTTTGGTTGATGCTTTCAGTGCAGTGAAGACAATTTGTGAAACTGTGCTGAGGATCAGATTGTTTTTTCCTCTTTGATGACATATAGAAACCATTTTAAAAGCTAGGCTGTGCATGCTACCTTTGACATTTAAAGCTACATTTCGGTTTGTTGTGAAGCAAGGTACTGAAAAACTCTGATTCTCTTAGCTACTTTGAAGGTCCTGGGTTAGACCTCTAAGTCATAGCCATTGAGGAAATTAAAACAAAATGCAAATTACTTGTAATTGCTTTCTCTCTGCTTTCCAAACTGAGTGATAGAGAACTTAGCAGAGGTGATACAGCAGAGGCAAATTTTAGTTGATGAGCTGAGAGCAAGCATTTTAGAAGACAGTCTTGCATAGCTTCCAACTTATGCAAAATGTCTTAAATTTTAGTTGCAGGGCATAGTTCATATTCCCCACAACCACCTAAGTAATATTAAAGGAGAAACAGTAATTAGACTTGGAAGTTGGAACTACTGCATCACCAACTTAATTTGTCACGATTCTTCTCGAAGATGACCTTTCACAGTGCTGCCTGTAATTCCTCAGCACAGATGTCGCCTGACAAAGGAACACCTTTAATTGCCTCTTCCTTAGCATTAGTCCCTGGCCTTTCAACACACAGCTGCTCCTGTGCCTTAGAAATACTGGTTATGGTGCTGCCTCCCAGCCTTGGTGACCAAGTCCCTGACAACAGGCAGGATCTCTGTTTTAGCCAAACAGGTTCTCGTTATTTCCACTCTGTGGGAGAGGAGTTGTCAAATTTGTAATGGACTCACTACTGTGTTATGTTCTCTTATTTCAGAGGGCTAGAAGGGACCTCAAAAATGTTTTTGGATATGCTGATGAGCATATCTGTTTCAAACAGTAAACTGGAAATATTGATGACTGTGTAAAAAAAAAAATAGGGAGGAAGGGAGAGACTGAGTGAAGGAGAATGTTCCTCCATAAAATTTTTCATGTCTAAATTTAAAAAAATTTTCAATGATTTTGAGTCTCGAGTCTGATGCACTAGCAAAATGAACAATCCTAAAGGTAACCTGAGCAGAAAAAAATGGAGTTTTGATTCATTTTACATAGGAACTACAGGCTTATTGTATATTCAGTTTTCTTTTCTGGCACGAAATGATAACTGCAGTCCATTAATGATTTTCCTGGCTTCTAAATTCATCATGGCAATTTACTCACTTACTTGATCCAGTATAGCAACCTTCTGTTCTAGGAATGGTCTGGTTAATATATACAATTAAATTTTAGCTAATTTAATGAATTAAAACTGACTGTGACCACATTTGGAAAACATGTTTTTAACTGTGCTATTCCTATAATAGCTGATGCTTACCTGACATCTGCATTAATCTTTTTTTCCAGTTATTAAAGAATTATCAGAAGTGGAGAATTGAATGCCCAGAAATAAGTGCAGATTTACAACCATCTTCTGTTCTTGGTCTTTTGCAAGCTGGTTATCATGGAGTTCTAAGGTCAAGAGACCCACATGGAAGCAAAGTTCTAATATACAGAATTGGTGAGTGACAAAATTGCTTGGAACAGATTGGCACCTGATTCTGACACTGAAGTTTTTGGGTTTTGTTTGTTTGCTTTTTTTGTTTTGTGATTTTTTTTTATTTTTTAATTATCACCATTTCAGCAGCAAGCCAAAAATATTTTATGGGTACAACTGCAGGTGTTGATAAAACTAGATCATATCAGAATATCTTGACTAGAAAGGTAATATATTTATGTTCCTTGCTAGAAATGCATTTCCATTAATATAAAGGTGAATTTATTGAGCTATAACAGTTCAATCATTTTACTTATATATTGGTATGGCAAAAGCTGTACAATCCCTTATGAAGAACCTAATTTTCTTTTTAGTGAAATTCTTGTTGCATCAAAAGAATCTTGAAGGTTAAATCTTGTAAGATTATGTGGTTTTTTGGCTCTCAGTGTCCCAACAATCATTTGACTTCATGTAACAATTTACATTCAATTTACATTCATTACCCAAATCAAAGCCATGGACTAAGACTGTGGTACTGATGAAGATGCAGCACAGAGCAGGGAGAACACAAACAAAAGCGTACACCTGGTCATGTATCAACATTCAGTTTAGGCTTGGATGAGCTGTTCACCAAGTTTTCACTGTTTACCTGTAGCCAAAGAGCTAACAACACTTGGAAAACGCTTGATGCACCTCCCAAAAATCTTTTCAAAAACTACATAGTTAAATGAATACTAATATTTCTTTATGCTTGTTTTGGGCAGAGGCTTTATTTTTGCCAGCTTTCAAAGAATTGTCTTGTTATCAGCTGGTCCAGTACACAGTTGTGCCCTCTAAAGCTTTCATCTAGGGCTAAGGCTCATCCCATGCAATTTTTTCTCAGGCCTCAGAAAAAAAAAAAATAAGTGAGATTCACTGAATCATGCCGAAATTATGATGCTGAAAAACGATAATATTAATTGGTTGGATTGATGATCTGCATCTTCTGCTAGCATGACTGTTACTGAATTGTACCTTTTATTGGGTCTATGGCCATAGGTAGAACATGCTACATTACGTGGTACCATCTACTAAAAGAGCATCAAAGATGAGTGAGAGAGCCAAGTGTGCCTGACAAACAGTTTATTTCAGGAACATTGTTCTTGCTGCTTAATTCTTATTCCTGAGGAGCACATTAGAAGTTGTAGGAAGATAAAGTGCAGGTGTATGGGGTTTTCTCATGGTAATGCAGAGTAATCTATCTTCTCTTCAGGACAATGGGATCCCAGTGTATTTACAGCATATGATGTGTTTCGTGTAAGTCTCATCACATCTGAACTCATTGTAAAGGAGATCGAGACTCAGCGAAATGGAGTCAAGGCCATCTTTGACCTTCAAGGGTGGAGATTTGCTCATGCCTTCCAAATCAGTCCAGCAGTGGCCAAGAAAATTGCTGCTGTTCTCACAGTAAGTATGGCATAAATCTTTATGCAGCTTCATTGCTGTGACTTCCAGTTTGTCAGCTCTTCCAAGCCATAGTAAATTCCCCTTCTGTAGGCCTTCTCAGACTATGCAACTAAAAACAACAAAATCCTAAATCCATTACAAGTACTGCTTAATTTTACTTAAAGTTTATTCTTCTAAAGCAGTAAATGCCCTCTAAATTCAGGTATTTTATGAGAACTCCACTAACCTGTTACAACACAAGAATTTCATGACTGGAGGAGCAGATGAAGCTCAGTTTTGGAAGGATCTCTATCGCTTTTTATCTTTTTTTCCCTTTTCAGTCAGGGTCGGGATTGAAAGCACAAGAGACGGATTTTCGTGTTTGGACTCAATTGTTTATTAATTCTTATCTATAGTGCAGTGAGTGCCACAGCACTTCTAGCTGGCAAGCTAAAAATGATGAAATGGTGATATATCTCGCTCATTACAAGGTCTTTTAAGACCTAATTGTCTGATTAAAAACTAACATCTAAATTATTTTTACTTTTGACCCAATGACCAAACACTCGTGACCCTCAGTGCAGCATTTTCTATCCAATTAAAAAGTACCACCTATACCCACGAAGAAAAAGGTAAAGAAGAAAGAAAACCTCCGCCCTAAAACCTCCATCTTGTCTTATACCTATTACTGTATTTAAAACTCCCAATTCCAAATCCTTCATTTTGTGACATTACACGCTTCTATTCAAACTACCTACCAGTGATTCTATTTCTATCATTCAAATTTGGAAGCCTCCCCACGGCCTCAAGTCAAAAGCAGTGTTCTTTTGGGGGTCAGTGCCTGACACCACAAAAAGTTCAAAACTCCCAGTTTCCAGGGTTCCAAGAGATCTCAGTTTGTTGTCTTGTTTCATGTCTTCCAATCTTTTGTGCATTATCTCAATATTTAAAGCATTTATTCCTGGCTCAGGGAATATTAAAAATAGCATGCACTGTGAGCAATTAAGAGCAAGATACTCCTAACTTATTACCAGTATGGATGATGCATATGTGATCTTCCATCTGCTAACAATACAATGTATAATATTTATGTTCTGCTCGCTTTCTTCCTCACAACATGAGCATTGTTTTGTGCAAATCACTGCTACCACCTCATATTTTTCACAAAACTTCTCAGGAATTTACTGTTTTTAAGGCTTATTCCTTTCTGCCATATTCAGTTGAACTTTGCCACTGGATTTGAGAGAAAAAACATTAAAGAAAAAAGGGGATAGAGAATTGACAGGCAAGCTACAGTGTAGTTCTATAATCTTATTTTCCTTCAGAGGTTATGTTGAAAGTCAGTAATAATAAAACTGTTAGCCTATGATGTGGAAATGAGCCAAGAAGATAATCTCTTGCTCTCATTTGGTAAAGTTCATATCTGAGATTCAATCGAAGCTTAGTTATTGAATTAATATCATCAAAACATCAGATGTTCTTTCTTTCTGGTATCTACTGTAAAACTTTATTGAAACCATTAGGTGTTCCCAACTTTGCACATCTTGAATAAGAACTCCTGGTGTTGTGCAGTATTGGGCCAAATCTCATGAAAACAGGACTAGTGAGAGTGTTTCAGTTGATTTCTGAGGTAGTAAACAAATTGCTGGTAATTTTTTTAAGCTTTGCAATAGAACAGAAAGGAAGCAAAATAGGATTTGCAAGTACATCTAAAAGTTTCAATCCATTATCTCAAAGAAGGAAATTCTTTGACTATGTTTTCATTTTGACCTATTTCTGATTTGTTCAATGTTTTTCAAACTTCTAAATGCTTATTCTAGCTATGGAAAAAGAAAAATTAAAAATTGTGTGTTCCCAGTGTTCTTTTCTAAGAAGAGAAAGAATTGTAACTATTATTTTGTCCCCTGATTCTTTTCCTCACTTATAACTGGGTTTGTAAATTTTACCCAGAGATTGTTAGTGTTGTTCAGTATCATCAAACTATAGAATCATAGAATATGTTCAATTGGAAGGGACTCATCGGAATCAGCAAGACCAATTCCTGGCCCTATGCAGGACACCCCAAGAGCCACACCATGTGGCTGAGAGTATTGTCCAAACATTTCTTGAACTCTTGTCAGGCTCAGAGCTGTGACTTCCCTGGGGAGCCTGTTCCAGAGCCCAACCACCCTCTGGGTGAAGAACTTTTGCCTCATATCCAACATAAGCCTCCTCTGACACAACTTGAGGCCATTCCCTTGGATCCTGTCTCTGGTCAGGAGGGTGAAGAGATCTGCCCCTCCTCTTCTCCTCCCAGGAAAATCGTGGACTGTGATGAGGTCTCCCCTCAGTCTCATCTTCTCCAGGCTGAACAGACCAAGTTACCTCAGCCACTCCTCACATGATTTCTCCTCCAGACTCTTCACCATCCTCCTGGCCCTCATTTGAAGCTCTCTAATAGCTTAATGCCTTTTTTATATTATGGTGTCCCAAACTGCACACAGTATTCAAGGTGAGGCTGTCCCAGTGCAGAGCAGAGTGGGACAATGCCCTCCTTTGCCCAGCTGGAGATGCTGTGCCTGATGCACCCCAGGACATTCCTAATGCACTCCAGAATATGCTTATAAGCAAACCTTAGTTTTAGCCCTGTGTTTTACTCAATAAATATGTCTTGCAGATTACTATCCTGTATCACGAAACAGAAGTTAATAGAAAGGGAGTTAATAGAAAGGAAGTATGTACTAAGGAATGGAAAGCATGGTATGAATAATAAGTGACATTATCTTGAAAAATCTGTTATCCCAGGCAGAAAATTGTTTTGTGAAAATCATGATAGTAGACTTCAAGTATATGATAACTCATAATAACATTAAGTAGGCATACAAGCTGATAATTTTGAGGTCTTTATCATACATTAAAATATAAAAGGAGTAGCACTAAAGAAATGTGTTGGCTTTGAGTTTTCTGTTCCTTAGAACTATTGAATTAGTAAGCAGATGTGTTTGTGAGAAGTACCACTTTTATAAGCAGAAAACATCTGGTTCAGAGGTAGTATCAGGTGGGATATGAAGGGAAGCTCTACTTTCCCCACTGCTTGTTTTAAGCACTGCCTTATTTTCTTTTAAATTTCAAAGATCTGGAACTTTAAAATGAATGCAAGTAGAATCCAAGTTGTTTTATATTATAAAGGCTGTATAGCAGATATATTTAAAATTTCATTAAAACAGTAATCTTGTTGTAAAGCTGAGCTTCTGGCTTGGTCAAATTCCTAGTAATTTCAAGGCTTATCTCTAAAAAATAACTATAACTTACTTAACTGAAAGTCAGTTTCTTCAGTAGTTTATATATATTTACATATTACCCTTCAGGCTGTAAACTGCCAATAAAAGCACATAGCCAGATACTTTTTTGTAAATTAGTAGCAGAATCCTGTGAAAAATTGTACTTTAGAAGAAAGGCTGAGCACAAGGTTTGTGTACGATATTTATGTACAATTTGGTGGTAGTTTTCTTTTTTGTTTTTCTGTTTGTTTTTAATAGTCAATCTCACCTCATACCGAGATAAAAAAAATGGTGAGATTTTCCCCTCTAATGAGAGGAACAAGGTATGCTTGAACTTGCACTGCTAGAACACCACAAAATGCAGGAATTGGCAAGGTCAAAAGAAATACTTTAACCTATGGACTAGACAGTTTTTACAGGCTTGTCCTTAGTAATAGAGATGTTTCAGTAATATTTTCTTTTTCTTATTCTGTTTTCCATGTATGCTGACAGGATTCCTTTCCACTGAAAGTTCGAGGTATCCACTTGATTAATGAGCCTTTATTCTTCCACCCAGTCTTCGCTCTAATTAAGCCTTTTCTCACTGAAAAAATAAAGCAACGGGTGAGTACACACAAATAATTCTTTCTGCCACAAAACCCTTATATGACAATCTGCAGCAATTTCTTTAGGCTCTGTTACTCCTGATTACTGCAGAGCATAAATCATTTTTGTTTGTTAGTGCCATACAGACCTCCAGAACCTAACAGTAAAGCATTTGCAGTTATTAATAGCATGAGAGTCGCAAGTGGTGCTGTTATCACTACTCTAAGGATAAAAAACACTGTGGCACAAAGAGGTTAAATCATTTGCTTGAGGTCACGTAATAATTCTTCTGCAGAACTAGAAAGAATTAGGTCCTGGATTTCCAATACTCTGCCTGATATGATGAGAATGATAGAGAAAAATGATCATTGAACAGTGTTTTATGGTCCAAGTTGTGCAGAATTAGTAGAAGACAACTATTTATCTCTGACAGACCTCCAGAGGCATTTGTGCATGAAAAATTGGTCAGACTTAATTCCAAACAGCTCCTTAGTTGCTTTAAATAGTTTTGCAGTTATAGATCTGCAAATAGATTTGTATTTGGATGTAAAAGCATGCCAAGGGCTATGGTTTATTGCAGCATAGGAAAAAATTGGAGTTTTCAGCTGGCACAAAAGTGAAGTGGTAACAGCAGGACTAAAGTACAAAATAAGCAGCCTTGCCTGTTGTTATTCCCATCCTGAAGCCTCCTTTTCTCAGCACATGAATCTTAGCAACTGCAATAGCCACTGCATGCCAGGACAGTAGATCCTAGAAAAGTATCAGACTGGAACTAATGAACAGGGCTTCAAAATAGCTACAATAAACCAAAAAGGAGAAGAACCAAACCTATAGTATTGCAAGGGTTAAAGTGGAGAAGTAGTCCAGAATCTAATTCCAGTTGGAACTGAAAGATAAGGACTGATATATAGATTCTGTTGAATATCTTCCTTGACACCTGTCTGAACCTACATACATACTACATAATCTTGTTTTTAAATACATGTGGCAGGACCAGATAGTAATGGCCATGAGCCAGACATGGCTCTTTTCTTGTAAATGACAGAAGGGCAAGTACAAGATATCATGACAAAACAAATCACCAGTCTTCCCATGGTTTAGCTCAGTTTAGCAGTTTGGATGTAGTGTGTACTCTAGTGTGTACTTTAGCGTTGCTAAACCACTCTGGAGCAAGTCTGTAGTTAGTTCTGGCTCCTGTGCTCACAGCTACATAAAATGCAGTTCTCAGGTTGTAGTTCATCCTTCACCAGGCTTCAGATTCAGAGCAGGACAGAGTTTGAACACCTAGGGGAAACTCACAAGGGTAGCTCCTCTTTTAAGGAACTCGTTATGAACAAATACACTTAGTTAAACCAAGGTGGTGGACTTAGCTCTTGCACTGAGAGGCTTTGCTGCTTGTTCTCACTCAATAGTCTAGCATTCATACCCAAGTAAATTCTTTTAATATTTTGGTTTAGGTGCATATGCACGGAAGTAACTACTTGCAGAGTCTGACCGAACACTTCCCCGTCAGCATTCTCCCACAGGAATATGGAGGGGAGGAAGTCTCCATTGAAGAGCTGGCCAAGGAGTGGACTGACTTCATAATGGCATCTTCAGATTATCTTAAGAGCATTTCTCTGGTTGCCTAGGAATAACCTTAATTCACTATTTTATCAATTCTTGAATTAGAAATAAGTTTAATGTGAAAACTTCAGTTGTGAATCAAATCAGTATGTGTTTGCAGGGCACTCATTGAATGTTATGTTGGCTGCACTTTCATACTAACTGGAGTCTATTCGTTTGTATGTCTGAAGAGATTAATGAATTTTACATATTTCTCACACTGTTTGTAATTGATTAACTTGGTGTGCCAGAAAGCTGAAGAGTGCATTGGATATCAGACTGATACTGCTGCTGTTAGGTCTTTGGTGACAATTTATCTGTAATAATGCAATCCAGAACCTTACACTTAGCTCTTGTGTCTTGGCTTGTCAAGACAACAGGATACAAAACAAAGAACAGACTGTGAATAGGATAGTTTGTTGCAGAAGTAAGACTGCAGGGCTGATTTACAAGTGAAGAGGCTACTTTTTTGGATTGATTCTCAGGGAAAAATGCTGTTTTGTTAGTTTGTGTCAAATTGAAAATTAGTCATCAATAGTGAGACATTTGTGTTACTCTTTGTGCTGCCTGTACAGCTTCCCTTTTTGTGCTAATTAACAGAGTGATCTTCAAGTTTTACAGAGAAAACACCACCTATGTATTCTTCAAAGGATGATGTGAATCAGGAGGAGGAACTGGTAAGAGTCAAAACAACCTTGAAAATTCTTATTTTCTTTCTTCCAATTGATACGTCAATGGACAACTACAAGCAACTCAGATTATTATCGTTCAGTCCCTAGAGTAGAGGACCACAGAGGTCAAAAGTTTTCAGCTGTTTGCATTATCTGTTTGTTTCAGGGGGTAAAGTAGGTTATCCTTTGTGGATCTGAACGTTAGAAATATCTGTTATATGTTTTAAGGGTGCTTTGAGGTCACTGGACCTCAGCATAGAAGATGCTTGGTATCATAATTTTATTTTCAGTACAGTAATTGACAAGTTGCGAGTCTATTTGCCGATGTGCACTGAAAGAAATGATTTTTAATTTCCATTGAGACTACGTCTGCATTTCTGTAGAGATAATAAAAAAAAACAACAATCCTCATACTTACTGAAAGCAGGTTTTTGTTTTGTTTTGAAGAGGTATTGTTGACATGAACACTGCATGTGTAAAAGCTATCACTCACACATAGCAGTATCATGCTGCAATCCCCTGTATTTAGTAATCTCAACCATTATTTTACTTTTCTCTCGGCTTTTTTCCTAAAATCTGTTAGTACACCAACTACTAGAGTTCATTTAGCCAGTTCTTAACTCTATTTTGTTTTTCATAAGGACTATATATTTAAGCATTCCATGTGAATTTTCGTATAAATAAATCCATAAAAATGTTTTTATCTCAGGTAGCTAGAAATTATAAATAAATAACTTCAGTTATTTTGTAATATTTAGGACATTGGGATGCTATATACAGGCATGGGGACAGAAATGAAACTATCCTATTATATTAGAAATGTCTTACTTTAGATTATGATTAATAAGGCATTACTGCAAGAGTCATTGGAAACTGTTCTTTATTAGCAAGAGGAACATCTATGAAAGACCATTGGAGTACTTGTTGGTTGTAGTTTCTTCTGCTCTGGTAAGATCAATACCAGAAATTCTTTCAAAACCAACAACTTCTTAATTTTTTCTTCCAATTACCAAATTTCCTTAAGTGCCTTTTCTATTTTTCTCTTTCAGAATATTTTTATATGGGGCCTAAATTTAAACAAACCTTTTTCAGATATATAATTCTATGAAAATGTATTTCATATATATTTCTTTTTCTAAGATTGAACTATTTTGCGACACAAAGGCTCCTTAAGGAGTTCAATGAACTGCAAATTCTTCTTTATAAGAAAATAGACTAAGTAGTCAGGTATCTGGCAATTGTTCACGTGTGTAACTCAAGTTCCAAGTAATTTACCAGCTGGAGAACTGAAGCTATTGTCTTAATATTGTAGTCCTTCAATTTTAATCCGTGAATGTAAGCTGCACAAAGGGATGAACCATGTTTCAGTGAACAAGAAAATTTTAAAAATTTAAACTTTTCCCATGAAACCCATCTCTGATTGCTACTGGTTTATGTAGCAGAAACCTCATTTGATTGCATTTGTATATGCACATTTAGCTGGGGCTTTTTAATCTTTAATTGGACTTCACCAGCTCTATGAATATAAATGTCTTCAAAATACCCAAAAATATTAAGTGATAACATGTTTGCATGACTCAACAGTTAGAGCACTGAGTGCAGTTATTTTTTTCCTGAATTGTTAATTATTTTTTAATGTTTACATATTATATAGGAGGTGGGAACTCTTAATTGTCATTGCTGCTAATAATAAGGACACAAGATAATTGGAACATTTACATAATGAATAGTGGAGATGTTGGCATGATGCGCAGTGGTGTTGCAGCTTTGAGCAGCAGTCAACAAAACAAAGATCCCTAAGTGCATTATTCCTTATAGCATCGGGAGTGCCTCTAAAACAACAAAGTTCCTGTTAAACGGTGCAAATATAATTTACTACTGACTGTAAACATGATGTGATGCACAATTTTAAAGATTTTTCTCTTTTTTTTTTTAATGAATTAACACATGTTTTAATTAATAAACCCTTTATAGTTGAACCAGCCTCGTGTGTTACTGATATGAGTGCCGCTTTCCCAGAGAAGGAAGGACGTGGGTGGCAGTGGGGATGGGAGGGATGGGAGGGATGGATGGATGGATGGATGGATGGATGGATGGATGGATGGATGGATAGCGCCGGCGGGGCTCAGCCCCCGGGCGGGGCACTGAGGCCGAGACTACATTTCCCAGAGTGCCTGGACTACATTTCCCAGCATGCTTGGACTACATTTCCCAGCGGGCAGCGCTGCGTGACGCAGAGGCGGGCACCCACCCTGGCCCGGCCCGGCCCAGCCGGCAGCCGTGCCCGGAGGCGAGGTGAGCCGTGCCGGCAGCCGAGTCGTGCTCGGAGCCCTGCGGTGCCCGTTCGCTGTGCCCGGCGGTGGCTATGGGGCACCTGGCAGGGCTCGGTCCCGTGGCGGCCACCGCGCTGCTCCTGGTGCTGCTGCGCTGCGGCTCCGCTGCCTCCCTGTCGCGGCGCGACCTCGCGGCGGGGCGTAATGACAGACCCATCATCGGTAAGGACTGACCCGTCATGGCTAGGGACAGACCCTTACCCATCGGCAAAGGCTGACCCATCATGGGTAGGGACAGACCCTTACCCATCGGCAAAGGCTGACCCATCATGGGTAGGGACAGACCCTAACCCATTGGCAAGGGCCGCCGCGCTCGCTGCCTCCCTGCCGGGGCACGGAAACGTCTCCCGGAGCGGAGGCTTGGCTGAGGTGTTACAAGCGGCGTTACGCTGTCCGTGCTTTCTCTAAAAACCAGGCTTGCTTGGGAGAAGTTGCAGTGCTGGGCAGTCCTAGCAGGGAAGAAGCCGAGCCTTAGTCAGGTAATGTGTGTTTATGTGGCGCCTTGTGACGGGGCGCCGTAATTGATGTCCCGTTGTCTCGGTGCCCGCGGTTCCTCTGGGCAGTAAATGTATTGCTGCAAGCTGCCATGTAGGAAATGGGAGCTTAATTAATTAATAGGAGCACGAGTCTCCAGAGGAGCGGCTGAGGAACCTGGGGTGGTTTGGGCAGGAAGAGAGAAGGCTCAGGGGTGACCTTATCGTTCTTTACAATTGCCTGAAAGGAGGTTGTAGCCAGGTGGGGGTCGGTCTCTACTCGACAGCTGGCAGTAGGACAAGAGGACAGAGTTAAGCTACCAAGGGGAACTTCTGGTTAGACATTAGACAGAATTTCCTCACTGAAGGGGTGGTTAGATACTGTAATGGACTGCCCAGGGAGGTGGTGGACTCACCGTCCTTGGGGACGTTTAAGGAAAGACTGGACGTGACACTTGTTTCACAGTATAATTGACATGGTGGCTTTCATTCCTAGGTTGGATTTGATGAGCTCATTTTTTGACTTTTCTTTCAGTTGTGTAGCATTTCCCATTTGTATGGTGCTAATTTTCTTCCTTCGGTCGTTCAGGGATATTGTCACAAGAATGTCACTTTGATGAGTACCAGCGATTTGGAAGATCTTATATTGCAGCTTCATATGTGAAATTTGTGGAATCTGCCGGTGCTCGAGCTGTGCCAATAAGGTACATTTTTTTTTAATCATTAGGAGTGGATAATAATTGCATTATGTAAGGTATGTACCATTTCAGAGGCAGAAAGTAGTTCTGCTGCTTTTCTGAGTGTTTATTGCTCCTCAAAGACCATTTGAAGATGCCACAATTCTTAAAGCGTTTCAGAAATCAGAGTAAAAGCAGATTGGAACATGTACTTTTTAATATTTGTGTTACTAGTCTTTCTTTGAAAAGTTCTAATTTTTTTTTTTTACCAGTAAAATTGCCTTCTGTAGTTTGCATGCATGGTTTTTAAAGTTAGCTATATTCAGTGTCCAGTGTACTCCACAAACACACATAGATACCTAGATACGTAGATATCTGTATCTTTTTTTCACATTTTGTAGCCCCGGAATTCAGAGAATCGAGGAAGGCTATCAATACACCTTTCAGAAAACAAAGTCCAGTTCTGTTCAAACTATGGGTCCCTATCTCCTTGTTGTTTTGTTAAAAAGTAGCAGAATAAGTAACAGCTGACAATACTTCATACCAGCACTTAGCTATAAAATGTTAAGTGCACTGAAACCAGATGATAAAATTACAGATTTCGGTACTTAAAAACAATACTAATTCAACTGCAGAAAAATATAATAGGATGTATCTACACAGTCCAATAAAAGCACCACGTAAGTGCCCAAATTTAGAAGCCAGCATTCCTCACATAGCTGCTGGAGCTTTCAGAATGTTTGTTGACCAAAAGCTTCACCAATGAATGGATGCTTCTAATTCTGGCAATTAAGTTACTTGCAGCAAAGCTGAACACTTTCACTTACACCCAGCATATCAGTTCTGCAGAAGTGTGGCCATCTGTGCTGCTTTTGGCTGGGGCAGAGTTAATTTGCTTCACAGTAACTGGTGTGGGGGTGTGTTTTGGATTTGTGCTTGAGCACAGGGTTGATGATAAAGAGATGTTTGTGTTATTGCTGAGCAGGGCTTACAACAGAGCCAAGGCCTTTTCTGCTTTTTGTGCTGCCACGCTGGCAAGGAGGCTGGGGGTGCATGGGTGTGACCCACTGTTTGCAGCTCTGCCCTTCTTGGAATCAGTTGGAAACCGGAGCTGCCAGTCTGCAGGAAATAATAACCATGCCATTCATGTAAATAGTAAATTTTTCAAGTGTCTTGCAGAAGAGTCTCAGAGTACCTCATCAGCAACTTTACCTGACAGGGCCCTATTTTCAATCTTGTAGATTTAGCTGTTCCAAGTGAAATGTTTCATCTGATTTGTGTCCATTTTACTCTGTTTAAGCATGCCTTCTGCATATTTTCTGTGTCAGACATTTCTATTCGATACAGATTATATTTTTGTGGTCAAATAAATGCACATCATATGTATTCTATAATTATTTTTGGTGTTTCAGATTAAATCTTACAGATGAAGAATATGATAAAATATTCCACTCTATTAATGGGTAAGTCTTGAGTACTGATTTTCTGTTGAAAGGCATGGTGGTTCTGTTTTTGAGTTCTGCTGTGTTCCCAAGAGCACTGTCTTCCTACTCTCTTGAGAGGTTGTGCTGGGCACTGCAGACATGAAAATATATTCTGAGACACAGAATGCATTATTTCATCCAGTGTGGGTGCTGCCTTTCTTTCCTTGAGGAACATGTCAGATAATCTGCAAGAGTGCCAAGGTTCGTCTTGGCATTCCCTTGTGTTTGTCTGCAGACAGGGAGAAGTGGCATTATAGTAATGAGCAATTTTGCAAGTGATATACTCAACTTCCTCTTCGTTAATTTTTCTGTCTTCCTCATTTGAGCTGTCACCTTCATTTTGATGTTTAATAGCACTTGCTTGGTATTTCACTTCTATTTCTACCCTTTCTTCCCTCTTTCAGTCCTTTTCATATCTCCTCTCTTATAAAAGTTTCTAATTTCCAGTCTCTTCTACTCTTTTCTCCATGTGTGCTCTCTCTTTTGCTACTTGAATGGTCTGTATTGCCTGTTGTGGTTTTGTGTCTTGGGTCTTTGTTAGAAAATCTTGCTGGTTTCCAGGAGCTCTGTGGCAACTAGCCACCCCTCTGTTCTTCTTTTTCAAATATGATAATGGGTTCTTGCCTAACAGATTTTATTGTGGACTAAACAAAGTCAAAACCTTTCATGTTTTTTTAGCCTTGTGCTTCTGAAGCGCACTTCAGAAGAGTAAAATCAGCTGATGCTACACTTCACATCCATGATGGTGCATGAGGCCAGAACATGTGATTGGGCTACTTGTAGTCATGAGATGAGCACCTTAAACCATGAATACATTTGTTAAGCTTATGCATATAACTAGAATGTTAATCAGCATGTGTGGACCTTGCAGATTTAGACCTTTGGCTGTCTGGGGAGTGCATTGTCCTCCTACATCAACAGCCCTGGACACTAAGACTTGGGTCTTTGTAGTCTTGTGCTATAAGTGAACGTAAGACAAGTGATGCTTTTCTCTGCTGTGTGCTGTTGGAGACAAAATGAATCATTTCTCCCTTTCTCATGGCTGCCAGCTTCAAAGCCAAAAGGGCTTTCCACCAATGGGTCTCTCATTGTTTCTACCTCACCACCTACATCAGTGCAGGAGAAAGTATTTGGCAAGTAGATCCACTTTCTTTGTTCTTCTGTCCTTGCAGTCAGAAGTCTGTGTTATGTAGGTGAGTGAAGATGGTCTTTATTTCCTTCTGTGGCTCTCCACTGTCACCTGTTGGCTTCCCTGATAAAACTGTGTGTAAATAACAAAAAGGAGCTCTGGATGGAATGACTTCTATTATGTGGAAATTCAGAATAAGGAGGAGATACATTGCTCTTTCATATATTTTCTTTGAAGTTGTAAATTACTTGCTATTAAATGCTACCTTCTTAAAATCATGACATTTACTATAGTAAAGACATAATTTTATGAATGTACTCCTGAGGTAGCCATTGAAATGCCCAGTGGAAATCATCAGCTCTAACCAGGCAGTGATACTGGAATACACGTGGTTGCATTTCAATCTGCTTATGACAATGTCAAGCCATTATCATTGCTACTTAATGGGTTATTTCCTTTTTGCATTAGCAGTTTTCCTAATTAGTATAGTCCAGGTTTTGGTTTGAACAGGTGGAATGAATTTTCTACCACTTACAAGTAAAAATCACCTTTTAGATCCTACACTTTCAAGGTCAAGATCACCTGTCTGTTAGATCTCTGAAGAAACCTGTAATCTGGCCTGTTTTGAAAATACCTTCAGCTGTATTAATTTTCAATGCTGATGCTGGGAAGTAAAGTTTTTTGTATTTTTGTGAATACTGCTTTTCCACCAAATACTTGATGGCTTTTACCTGAGCCTGTGCATTATTCACTTTAAAAAAAACCTGGTCACAAGAGTTTAAATGTATAGTTGCTCTTCAAATGCTTGAGATCATTTGAAATGTTATTTGTTTCTAACTGTTTGTTAGTATCTCACTGACACAGATTGCCGTTTTCTGAGCACAGAAATGTAGAGGAAATCCTACAGCTGTTTTGGTAAAAAATCACCAACTAATGGATGTGACTTGAGTAAATCCAGTTGAGGTTCTGCAGCAGTCGGTTAAGGAATGCTCACACATACAGTTTTCTTGGTTCTGCAGGTGTTGTTCCAGTTACAGCCAGAAGAGGCTTCCTTTATTTCATGTTACTGTTTCTGACGGTGCTTGATTATTTTCCATGTCATCGTGTGTCCATGTGAATTCTCTGCTAGACTGTACTATTTCTTCCATGGTGTTTTTTTGTGTTTGGGGAGCTACACAGGGAATTGCCATTCCTGATTATATTTTGTGGTGGAAAAATCTTGTGCACTATTTCTATGAAATTGTCCCTAAGTTTGTTTTCCTTAGCTCTGTGGGACCCTGTGTGACCAAAGTTTATGGTCAAATGTACTTTTCTTCCTTTTTGATAGGAATTTTTTGATCTTTGTTGTCTCCAATAAGAAGGTCCCTATGCCAGGGCCACAGTTCTATTTTTCTGAAACTGAACAGAATGAATTGAGATTTGGGCTGGAATTTTAACGTGGTAGTGAGAGCTAGCTGAGAGTCAGGATAAGAAATGACAGTCATAGCTTGCAACCCTTCTGTTTACCAGCTGATATCTGTGTGTTTTATGTATTTTCTGTTTACTTTCTTCTTCCATGTGTTGCATTAGGCTTGATATATACTTTGTGATAACTATTCTTCGGTAGAAGAGCACTGTGATTAAGTTAAAGACTGAAACACCTAAACTTCTCTGTCTGCCTGTGCACTAGCTGTCCAAACTCATATAATTAATGGAAGGCTAGCCAGTCCAGCTAGTGGAGCTGACAGGACTGTTCAGCCTATCTACCACTCAGGTGTCTGCTCTGGAAAACCTATTTGAATCTCCAGTGACTCTCCTGACTAGATCCCTGCTGTCTATACCAGGAGCATAGATGCCTGTCTGTAGGTTTCTGAAACTTAGACCTAAATTGTACCCTTAAAACTGCTATCAGACATTTCTCTGTGTACATTGTCCAAGTTTTGGGTTGATTGCTGTTTCTAATCATGTTCTTGGGTGTTGCCTTTCAGGGTACTTCTTCCAGGAGGTGGTGTGGATCTTAGGACTTCAGAGTATTCAAGGGTTGCTAAGATATTTTACCACAAGGCCTTGGAGGTAATTACTAAGGAGCAGTTGGTTCTTGTTATGTCTGTTCAGAGATCAAAATGCGGGGCTCACATTTTTCATAGTTTTACACTGTCATTCAGTGGGTTAACTGTAGGCCTGAAAATAGGTAGCTTATTTCTTGCTTCTGCATAAAACTTCTACTTAATAGCTTAAGATTCAGACTTGTGACACCCACAACTGTTATATGTTGTTTTATGGTCTTAAACTCTCGAGTTCTTCAGGTGAGAACAGTATTGTTTATTCATTGTACCTGAGGCTTTATGGCTCTATGTGAACTTGGCAAAGAGGAATTGCTCTTCCACCTTTGCTGCTGACTTTCCAACAACAGGCAAGGAAAGTGCAGGCAGTGGCATTCACAGGACCAGTCAGTGCTGCAATTCAGTCATTGAGCTCCCTTTACTCTTCAGACCCTGTGGCACCAATGTTTTTATCCTTTTGTTTCTCTTTATTTGTGGTCAGTCTTGCAAAGACCGTCTCACTTTTTTGTGAGACAATTTCATTTGTTTCTCTGGAACTGCTCACTGTGTGAACTTCAGCCTATACCTTGGTATTCAGCACTGGGGCAAGGGTTTCTTGTGGTTTGTTGTATGATTATGAAATTATGTTGACATTTCACAATGACGAACTGAATTGCCTATGTCACTTTATATTCAGAGAGACAGGTTTATTAGCTGGTAGATGCACTACCAGTGACTGAAAGGCAGAAAATAATATTCAGTTCCTCCTAGGTAACCCTTTCTAACAAAGGAGGATTTTTTCTTTGATGTTTGTGATAATTTTGTGTTTTGATTTTTGTCTTTCAAAACTTAATTAGCAGTATAAAATATTGCTAGTTTTATTTATGTAAGGTAAGCTGCAATAGTCAAGAGTATCTTTACAAGTACAGAATGACTGAATTTTATCTTTTTCTCAAACATGAGGGGTCCTTTTCATTTGCAAATGTTCACAATGAGAAATTACTTTGATCTGGCTCTGCTTTAATATGAATAGAGGATGTGAAAAGCTAATCCCCATTCAAGTCACTAGAATTTTACTATTTAGGCAAAAATCTAAATTAAATACTGTTTTCCAGCTCTTAAATCAGTTTTTAAAATGTGATATGTTGAGTGGTGTTTAATACATGCTTAGCCTCCAGGTGCTAGTTTTTTTAAAAAAGAGGGGGGGAGGGGATATGTTTCAGTTGTAATTGCTTTTAAACTGTAGTTTATTTTTTGCCTTCAGTAGTTTTAGTCCTCACTTGCAACTCCACTGTCTGTCTTTCTTGTAAGTTCTGTGCCTCATACATTATGGGTGGTCATGAAGACTGGAGCCCTATCAGCCTTCTTTCTGTACATCTTCCTTGTTTTGCTGTGGGAAGAAGTAGCTCTGTGGGCTTTTACAACTCCCATACTTTCAGTAATGCAGTAGGGCAACATTATTATTCTGAGCCTGCCATTTCAGCTTTCTCAAAAACGGCTTTGAGCAGCAGCTCTTCAGGGGTGGTGTGTGTGTGTTGTGGTATGCATAACTTAAAAATGTTCAAAAACAAGTCAAGAAAAACTAGTCAGATTTCACAAAAACAGGAGTTCTGAAACATCCCAGTCTCCAACATATGCTTAATATCATGTGCAAACCATTTAAAAATGCAGATTTCCACTGCATGTATGCACCATGCTTAGTTATGTCACAAGAAACTAGTTGTGTTCTTGTTTTTTTGCTTTCTTTTTCTCCTTTTTGCTATTTTTTCACATTGTTTTCATGCTGACCTGCCAATTTATTCTTTTGAAAATGATTGCCACTTTTTAATGTTGCTTTTGTCTTTTTGGAGCACAGGCCTAAACGTGCTAGTTAAACAATTATATAGGTATGTGATGTAAGACCATAGCTATGCTGGTAGTAGGATTCATGTTTTCTTAGTACAGTTGTGTGGGCACAGACATGGCAAAGGTCCCTTGCTATGTGATCATAGCATGCTTTGTAGAAAAGTGTGAATTGTAACAAGTATGCTTTCCCTCACAGTGGTGAGTGGTGACTCTTCTGTGTCCCTTCTAATGATTTCTTCTTTTAGAGAACTATTGCCATTTTGTGGTTTCTGTTTAGGGCCCTCTCAACATTACTTGTAGAACAGAGCAGTCAAATCGATATCCACATTAGGCTCAGGTTGCTGCTTTAAAATACATATATATCCTTTAGCCTTCATATTTTAGGTGAGACTCTAAGGGAATCTGTGCTTATTTCAATTGCAGTTGAACTGTTACAATTTCTGTGGTAGCAATTCATACTACTGTAATAGTTGTACTTCTCACCTACACAAAAGAAAGTAAAAAGAGTTGGAAGTTCTTGTCAGTCAATTTTCTGTGCATTTTCATTGTTCCCTTATGTTATTGTTTTTTTTTTTTTTTGTAGGCTAATGACAAAGGAGATTATTTCCCAGTATGGGGAACGTGTCTTGGACACGAAGAGCTTACATATCTCACAAGTGGTGAAATTTTACTTGTTCATACCAAGACAAATGGTTTTTCACTCCCTCTGAACTTTACCTCAGGTGAAAAATTCACTACATCTCATGTCTGACTTTTGCTAAGAGGTGTTGTGTTTTGTTTGTGATAAATATGGGGTGAATGTTTGTCAGGTTCCTGATGATTATCTTCTGTTAAATTCTTTGTTATTAAGTTGCATTGACTGTTTTTGTAAAGTCAGTGCAGCTGTCACTTCTTAAGCAGAGAAGTGAGCACAAGCCATTTGAAACCAACAGCAATCAGCAAAAACCAAATTGTGACTCTTTGAGTCATTTGAAAATTCAGACCTACAAAATAACGTCTGCTTTTTGTTACCAAGTTGAACAAATTCCACAGGTGCAAAACCTGTTCAGAGCTTGGAGAACAGGTGATTTTAAATTTTTCAAATCATGTCTTTCCTCATGATGAATAGTAGCATTACTGTCCCATTTGAACAGCATTGAAATCACAGAGATTCTTTGAGATAGAGCTATGGCACTTGGCAGCATTTGTAAATTGTGGCCTCTGTCGATACTTTACCCTTTGTGAGTAATAAAAAAAAATGCATCATTCACAAATTAAAATTCACTTGTACTCGTTGTGAGTGGAAAGGCTGCAGAAATGAGTGTCAAAGAATGATGCTAATTTTAGTGAGAACTTTGCTACCTTAGTGGGATCCTCTCTGGGTCAAGACCTAGTAGTAGACAGTGCTAGACAGTGGTAATAGCATATTGGAAATCTGTTGCAGTTATTTCACTGATATTTCTTGCAGGTTATTCTAAAATAATAAATATTTACTGCCAAAAAAGCTTAATACAGCATTTTATTAATTGTCTTCTGTCAGTATAAGTCCATCTGAGACTACTTTCAGTAATGGAAAATACAATATTTTTCTTTGTAATAGCTGCAAAAGACAGTAAAATGTTCAGGAATTTCCCTGATGATGTGTTACACGCACTTGCTACTGAGCCATTGACATCAAACTTTCACGTATGGAGCCTCTCCATGCAGGTATTTGATCTTTTTATTTCCTGCATACAAACACTTTTTTTTTTTTGTCAAAACTAGAATAAATAAGCAAATAACACCTTTTCCCTCTTCCCACTCTCCTTATCACAGAATTTCACCAATAATGAAAAGCTACGTAATTTCTATAATGTTCTGACCACTAACACTGATGGTGAAGTGGAGTTTATATCTACCATGGAAGGTAAGGAAATTAATTTCCTTTGGAAGCTGTGACTGTAACAACCTGGTTCTTTAGGGATGTTGTGGCATGGATGTGAATTTGTATTGCAAGTTGTTAAAATAGTGGGGTGAGTGAGTATCAGCCCTGCCAGTGCTGTGGCCGTGAGGAGCATTTCTCTTTGCAGGGATATTTTATCTTTTGAGTACTGTGAGTTCTCCCACCTGCCGTTCCCCTTCCAGATTCGCTGTTACACTTTAGCACTGGCGTATTTGAGCGCCGTGGTGTGAACTGCACATCGCTTGTGCTGCAGTGGTTGGATCCCTGCTGAATGCCTGTGTCAAGCCGTGCTTTCCAGCTGCCTGCTTAGGCTTGCCTTTCCCTAGTGCTCTCTGGCTGTTTGCTGCATGGGAGGAACACTCCAGGCTGCTGAGGGAACAGCAATATCCCTCATCACCTGAGCGGCAATGCTGGTAATTGCCCTCCTCCAAAAGCCTTTTGCATGACTTGTTTTGTCTGTTTCATGCTGGGCTTGCTCAGCTCAGGAAACAAGCTAGCTCTTCAGGGAGTGTTTTATCTTGATGAGTGCACCACTAGCATCCCTACCGTAGGGCCCAGCTGTCACCAATGGGATTCTTCTGTGTGACATCCTGGCTGGCCTCCAGAAGAGAAGAATAGCACTTTGATCAGCAAACCTGATTAGGCTAATGACAGGCATCACCCTGTGCCTGCAAGCGGTTTGTCACAGAGCAGTCATCAGCTGCTGTGCCGCTACTCCCTGGAAGGGAGCTAAGGACTGATCCCCCAAAATGTATCAGGCCTGGCCAGAGCAGATGGCAGCTGCCCCTGGATTGACTGGGCCTTCAAGGAGTTACTAAGACTTGGATCTCTCCCATGGAATTGGCATCCAGTATGGGTGTGAATGCTGAGTGATGTTGGCGAGCAGATAGGAAGCTTTGAGACTGATATACTTGAAAAATTATTTTTTAGTGTGTATATACATTAATTCTGAAATAAATAATCAAAAAATATGTACAAATATTTTCTTGCATGGAATGAGACCTTTCTTTTACAATATTGATTTTTTTCCTTCAGTTCTACTGTTTCTTTAACAGTTTTTCAACTTGCTGTTTAAGCTTTTGTGAAACTGTTGATAAGTGAGGTATATTTGTAGCTTATCCTCTGAGTTTATTTTGCAGTAAGATTAATTAAGTAATTCTTAAGGAACACACCTTTACATGCTTTGTGTTTTGTTATAGCATACAAATACCCAATTTATGGCATGCAATGGCATCCAGAGAAAAATCCTTTTGAGTGGAAGGATTCTCCAGGCATTCCGCATTCACCATCTGCTGTAAGAGCAGCATATTATATGGCTGATTTCTTCGTTAATGAAGGTAAAAAATTGATTATATATAAATATTGGGGGTTAGAGTGAAGCATTACTCAAAAACTTTGAAGATGACAGACTTCAGCTGTCAAAGACGAGTATCTCATAATGCTTTCTGAGAAGATCACTCTGCAAGCTTTATAGGCTTATAAACACTAAAGGATACTAGAAGCAGAATGGCTTAGTGAAAGTAACATCAAAAGGCCAAGCATTCCACAAACTCTTTTCACTAGGCTGGCTCTAAAACGTTGTTCTGTGACTTTGTACCATTTCAAAATATCCCTGTAACATTTTGGCCTCTCTTGCACAAAGACAATAAAACAAAAAAAGTAATTAATAATTCTAGGGGCTTCTTCAGTTCCAAACTGGATTACAGTCATTCAATATGTTCTCAATTTTGCTTGTAAAATGCATACACCAGGACTATAAATGGGCCTTGTGCAGTATGGGTGTGTCAGAGGGGTGCAATATGGTGCCCTACAGCTGTATACTATAGACAGCACAAGGAGATTTTAAATTTTACAGAGCTGCTCATTTTTTTTGTTTATACCCTAAGAATCTGGAAGTAAGTAATGCGTAACATTTTGATAGTTTGTAACACTTCTCATGTGTTTGCTATGAATAAGCAGGATATAAATAGAGGAGTATTTGAAGGAATCAAACTTCATTCCTTAATCTATCTCTACTAAATCATTCTGCCTGGGCAATTTTATGAAATTGTCTTGCCTCCTTGATGAGGACTATGAAGAACATAAGCTGGTTGAGTTTGGTCTCTAGACTTGGTCTCAAATCAAATGAATCAACTTAATGAGGAAACTAGACGGTGATGTAAAGAAATGCAATTTGTGCTGACCTGGTCAGTGATAGTGTAGAACTAGAGGTTGTGTTTCATCCAAATTCAAGGTGCTTTTTTGCATAAAGTGGTCCTACTCCTCTTTGTGAAAATGTAGGAAAACCATTTTGATAGAGAACTTAGGGCCAGGCACAGCTGGGCCTCTGAGCAGCCTGGTCTAGTGGAAGGTGTCCCTGCCTATGGCAGGGGGATTGGAACAAGATGATCTTTAAGGTCCCGTCCAACCCAGGCCATTTTATGAGATGGCAGACTATGACAAAAATAAAGGGGGATGAAATAGGAGAAAATACAGTATGAGTCTAGTTTTAATTTTGTAGTCTAATATTAGAATGCAGTGTGTTTTCTGGCCTTATTTGCTGCTTTCTCTAGTATCCGTCTGCATACTGTATTCCCAATGGAAGTAAGATTGCTCAGGCCATTATCCAAATTAAGTGGGACAAAACAAGTGCCAGCTCTGATTGTAAATCCTGTTGAGACACAGCATGTGAGTTCTGTTACATACATGTACACATCCAAGGAATTTCTGCAGAGTGCCAGACAGACGTGTCACTAGCTTTTGGATCTACTGTCTACCCCCATCTCTTCTACCCAATCCTAAATTACTCTTCATTGCCTCCCTAGTCTTTTGGGGAGGTACTGAAACATAAGCTGTTCCTACTGAGTATTTCATATCATAACTTTGCAATGACATTTACAAATGACAATGACTTTACAAATTGACATTTGTAGCTAATTTAAGGCAGAATATCTTCCTTAACTTTGAAAATAAACCACAAGATGAAAAATGTAAATTGCTTTCAGCTGGTAAAAATATACTCATGTGTGATCAGTTAGTAACTAAACCATTCTACTGAAATACCATTTTTGTATCCATCCATCATTAATTTTAACTTCTGTAGAGTTGCCAACATGATAAACCAGAGGAGGAGTCAATTTTATTGTCCTCACCAGCACAGTCCATGCAGCTTTCAGTAGGCTGATATTACGATGTATTTCTTTCAAAGTTAAAACTACTGGTATTTCTGGTAGATACTGCCAGTATCTCATGGATAACTCTTTTATTCAGTCTTGGCTTTAAATTCTCCCTCTCCAGTAATAAAATATGCTGTAACCATTTCTGAAAATGTATCTTCACAGTTCTTCATATACAAGCTACTGTAATTCCATTTGTTGTTGTGCTACACAAAATAACTTACTTTGCCAAGATAAATATTGTTGAGGAGGATAACATTAAAATAATCGGTACTTTTGCAATATTTTACAGCCAGGAAGAGCATGCACCATTTCTCCAGTGAAGATGAGGAAACAAAAGAATTGATCTATAATTACAATCCAGTTTACACAGGACCATTTTCTGCATTTCAGCAAACCTATTTTTTTGATTGAGTATCTTGTCAAAGGTACAGTGTTGCTATTTATAAATGGAATTATTTGCCAGCCTTGTGTAATTAAGCTGATATAGTGACAGCAAGCTAGAACAGTTTTCCTTTACAATGATTTATTCTGTGTATCTTCTGCACTATTGAAACATTAATATATAAATTTACATTCAATAACATAATAATCATCTTGGATCATACTTTAAGGCAAACTACAGAAAAATATATTTTTCTTCCAGGAAAGAGGACTTGACTATGCTTATAAACTTTGAAGTAATCACCTTCGGTACAAGGAAAAGCTTTCATATAGTTTAAAATATGAGACTTCCCTTTGTAAAATGTTGTGGACTTTGATAGATACATTAGATAGATATATTGCATAGTAAACTGCTGTCCTTTTCAAACAATTTAGCAAATGAGACTCTTGGATTTGTCACAGATATGTGTATGCAGCCAAGTTCTTGACAGGGACTCCTTTGTAATTTCAAAAATTAATCAAAATAATAAGGCATGATAGCAAACAGGCATTTTTGCCTAAGAAGCATGCTTTATCCCATTTGTGAAACTGTTTCTCTTGTACGTTGAGCATTATTTGCAGTCCTTATACTTTGTGAGGCCTTCATATCACAAATACCACATAAAATATGTAAGTTTGGAGGGCTAAGAATGGAGTAACTTACTGGAGTAAGTGGAGACAGCAGCCGGGTATGAGATGCAGACACTCATTCCTTTGTATTTACAAGAATACAAACCTAATTTTTTCTCTGAACTGTCAGACTTTTCCTGTAGCTGGATAGAATTTTTATTTGAAGTCAAGTGGTAGTTTGCCATTATATTAGTAAACAAGGTCGTTTCTTTCTGTCTTTTTTGATAGTTCAGTGCAGCTAAAATTTAAACAGCAGATGAATGTACATGAGAAACCTGTTAAAGGTGACATAATGTGATAATAGCAGTTGCATGCAATACACTGGCACAGTTTTTTCTCTGCTTTGCTCCAGACTTGGTGAAAGTTTTGTTCAGTGGTTTTGTCCAAAAAGGAACTAAGATTAGACAATCAAATATAATTCTCCTCTCTAGCATAGCTTCCAAACTTTTGTTTGAACATTAACAAGAATTTGGGGTTTATGAAGAATTCAGGTTTATAAACTTCAGCTCTGTTTTGTAGAACCTCATACTCTCAGGTATCATATCTGAATAAGTCTGGTAAGTTTCTCAGGTTTTTCAAGTAAAACACGCTCTAACTTGTTCTTCATCATGAAGCAACTGCATAAGAATATGTGAAATGCATCAATTAAAAAAAAAACCAGAGGAAACATTAACTGTGACTAGCAGAAAAACACTTCCAGTTAATTGCAAGCTTAAACATGAGATATTTTTATATTTGTCATATCAGCCAACTTAGTCAATGGTTACCTTTTAATATAGGTAGCTTTATTAATCTACTCCTGAATAGAACCAAGTTTAAAAAGAGGGTTATGCTCTACAGTTGCATGTAAATGTAGCAGCTATGATACTTTGAAACTAAGTCCAGTCTTCTGCCTGTTGTTCAGCTATGTTCTTTGGAATAGCTCTAAGAATTTGCCTAAGTAAGCCTTAAACCAGAGATCAATCTTGCAAGTGAAGTGTCTGAAATGGTAGTAATTAGTTCCTAAATGTGTAACTACAAAGAGTATTGTGTGTAATATAATGAGAGAAGTTTATATATTATAAATTTGTATGTATCTTTCCTTTATGTTGTAAAGCCTTATTTGATGATAAGCATGATTTTTCTATGATATGTGAAATAAACTTTCATTCAAGCAGACTTGTATTTTTATCATCTTTTAGATAGCACAGATGAAGCACTGACAACAGTCATTGTCTTCTTGTTTCCATCTGTGGTAGTCATAAATCAGGAGGTTACAACCTGCATCTACTTTTTGTGGTCACTCCAGCAAGTCAGGGTCAGCATGAGTGGGATCATGGCCGGGCACAGACATGCCCAAAGCACAGGTACCCTTGCCCAGGGCTTGAGCTTAAATGCACTCAATGTGACTGCTGAGACCAGGGGCAGGAGCTTTCAAGAAAGCAGCCAGCCCACAGCTCATTCTCACAGAGCCTTTCCACAGCTGGTTCTCAGACCAGGCTCACCCCAGGGGCAGTGTCAGAGCTTGCTCAACACAGGCAGCCAAACTCCCATGAAAGTGAGAAGGGGCTGCAGCACTAATGGGGCTCTCAGGGCTCTGAAAGCTGTAAGCAAAGAAATTTCTGTCTATTCCTTATAATACCCAGTATCTTCTGCCATATTCTCCGGCCAGAAACAAACTACCGGAACCCAAAATTGTCTAGCAGTCACCTAACAGCGAGTTCAAAAGTTTGTTTTAAAGAAGACCTCCCCTCTGCTCTGTGTTGTACAATATGTTTTTTTATTGCACAGACAGAACTCCAGTTCTTAGAGTTTTTAGAATTAATGCTAGAGAGAGAGAAGAGCCTATGACCATACTCACAGCTTATTGAGTCTAGTGTATGAGCCTAAGCAACTTGTTTGTTGCTGTGTGGGAAGAACATCCACTGATCAGCAAGGTAACCTTAATATGTCTTGCAGACCACATTAAATCATCTCTAAGAAAGAAAAGTTTGAAATAGTTTCCTCCTTGGAGTATTCTGCTCTTCCCACTAGATGGCCTCCAAGAACCAGTATTTTCTGCTATTTTGTAATCGGGTGTGGTTGTGTCTCTCTAAAGTTGAGTAAGATATTTACTGTACTATGGTATGTAGTGGGGTGTTTGGGATGTGGGGGAAGAAGAAGGGAGGAGACAATAGGACTGGAATCTTACTGGCACAACTGGGCATGTTGGCAGGATTGCATGAGAGAATCTATGAGCATTGAATTAATTCAGCTGGGATTAAATCTTGTTTCCAGTGAATATTTAAACCATTCAAGCATTAGCTGGAGGTGACTGGAATTACATCTGCCTTCTCAGGTGGTTGTTCCTCCCCTTTAGCTATAGAATCTGTCTTGATTCCCTTTTCTATAAATACAAAACTAGCTCATGCAGAACAGGACAGACAGCTTAGATGGGAAGAACTGAGAACTTGATTTCAGAAAGCCTTTGCCTGGGAGGCAGGAAAGACCAGTTTGAATTCCTTCAGGTGAGGAAGAAATTACAGGGAAGAAACATCCTGAGTGAGTGCTATAAGTACGGAGTAAGAGCTTGACCTGCAAGCTTCATTGTGAGGAAAAGCAAATCACAAAACAACCCACCCAAACCCCCACCAATATTGGGCTGACAAGCTATGCAAAATTCCCTGGCAAGGTAGTGAATCCAAAGCAGAGATTACTGTCCAAGCACTTCTATGTTGAATACCATATTTTTAGGTTAATTTTTAACCTTTTCTCCTTTAGCATCAGTGCCACCATATTTATTGCTGCTCAGCAAAACAATATTGAAAGCTGGACTGTACTGGGGAGATTTCTATAGAAATGAATGGCCTGTTAGGAACAAAAGATGATTCTTTCCTTGGAACAGTGAGGAAAGTATGGGGATGGTTTGAACAATGAGGAAGGAACGATTTCCCATTTAGGTGTTATCCCTGCATTGCCCTTATGAGCCAGGAGCCCTGAAAGAAGAATAGCTGTGTGTGTAATCAGGTGGCTGAAATCTGCATGCCAGGGCTCAATCAAGAATGTTTGGGTTTGAGGTGGGAAGGTGTACACAAGATTTCAGTCACTTTTATCCAGTTAATAATATTTCATCTGGGGTTGTGAGGGTAGTTTTGGGGATTTTTCTACTGTGGAGTTCCGATTCATGTATCTGGTGATGGTGTTACCAGAAGAGCTGTGGGAATTGGCTAGGGTCCAAGTCCACTAAGGTTTCTAAGTGCCTTTTCAAATTATTATGGCTTGAGTACTTTCATGGAAGACAGATTGACAGATAGTGTGAAGTGATTGATTACCTTCCCTTGTTAGCCTTGTGCCTTTCCCCAGGGCAGGCCTCTTCTCTAATCCACTGCTTATTTATAGGGCAACTCATGAAGTTTATCCTGCCCTGGGCCACCTGTTGATAAGGATACTGTTCCAGCTTTCATCACTTCCTCATTATGTTTATATCTGTTTCATAAAGTAAGCAGTATGTTTTAGTAGCCAGCTTCCTCTTTTAGTTCTTATATAACCAAAAAAATTTCCAAGATAATTTAATCCAAAAAAAGCCTATACTGTTTAAAAATAGCTGTCACTATTTGGAGGAGCACTTTGAACAAAGCATTCACTCCAGACTTAAGCAAAAAAACCCTCCAATTCTCTGATTTTCAGAAATGTAGTGAACAAACATCCCTTGCAACTAGGCTTTCTGTATATGAAAAGCAAAAAAGCAGAAAACCCAAAAAGTTAAAAGAGGTAAATTCTCGCAGTTGCTGCTTCTGAGCATTAAAACAATTGGGTTGAATACTGTGGGCTGGTTTTCAGGGTAGAGTTAATTCTCTTCACATAGTCTGGATGGAACCGTGTTTTGGATGTGTGCTGAACACAGGGTTGATAATTCAGGGATGTTTTAATTACAGCAGAGGAGTGCTCATACAACCTGAAAGCCTTTTCAGCTTCTCACCCCATCTGGTGAAGTGAGGGGGGTCATGAGGGCTGGGGATGCACAAGGACTCATGAGGGGACACAGCTGGGAGAGATGACCCCAACTGACCATAGGGATATTCCATCTCGTATGACATCATGCTCAGCATCTAGACGTGAGGAAGAAGGAAGGAAGGAAGATGACATTTGGAGTGACAGCATTTGCCTTCCCAGGTGACTGTTAGACATGGTGGAGCCTGGCTTTTCTGGAGATGGCTGAACCCCTGCCTGCTCCTGTGCAAGGTGAATTAATTCCTTAGGTTACTTCACTAGCGTGTGCAGATTTTGCTTTACCTATTAAACTGTCTGTACCTCGACCTATGAGTTTTCTCAGTTTTACTCCTCTGATTCTCTCCCCCACCCCTTTGTGGGAGGAGTGAGTGAGTGGCTGTGTGGGCTTTGGTGTTAAATCACAGCAGCTTGTGACTGTGTAGCTCCCAAGTTGCCTTTGATGATCTCTTTCACTGTGTGTATACAAGTTCAAGAGCTAATGTTATATGGGTGTAGTTTCTTGCAATTTTCCTGATCAGCAAGATCAGAAAGACTAAAATAGCAATTTTCTAGCTAGAAGCACATTAGGAAATTAGTTTCTCCCTTTGACTTCTTGAGGCACCAATATGAACTGGTTATAGTGACCTTAATTCCACTGCAGAAGTGGAAATTTGGACTTCATATCACTATACTTGACCAGGATTTACTCAGCAGGTCTTGTACTAATAAATCCTAAGGACCTGCTTTTTCAAAAGACAATGGAAGATACTATTATGACTGACTACTTGATTATTATTGTATTAATTACTAATTTTTAATATACTATTATATTTAATTAATAATCCTGTTGTTAGCATTATAGAGGAGACACAAAATAATGTGAAGAGGCTACAGATAATTTCTGAGATTTTTGCAAAGGAGTCATATTAGAATGGAAGTACTCCAAAGTTTTTAGCCAAACCTATTCTCACCCTGGATGAAGTTAATCCTTTCCATCCTTGCAGGTTTCTAAATCCATTGCTGGAATTTAAATTGTTGTACTACTGATAGAGGCCGTTTGCAGAATCTAAAAGCAGATCTAAACAAGTCTTGGACTTCCTGAGGAAAAGAGAGAAACCTGAGGGACCTATTATCTGCTTTACTTTAATTTGAGGTACTTGTACTGATTATTTCTCATTAATACTTGTAACGAGCATCTCAGTCTTCCACTTCAGCAAAAAGTACCAGTAATTTTTTTGTTTCTGGACTTAAAACCAAATCAGTTTTCTATGTTCTTTTTGCCACTAAGCTGAACACAATAAACTGTCCCCTCACTAGGAACAGAAGCTACTTATCCCTAGGCTCTTAAACTTTACTTAGGTTTCTTGTCAAACTAAGGATGAGTTTGTTCCCATCCCTGTAGTTTTCCCACTTTGGTTCTTGTAGACTGTGCTACCTTGTGGCTCCTTAGGGAGTTTAATTACTGTACCAGAACTTCGAGCCATCAGTTACTACTTCTTCCAGCAACAGCTACCATAGTCTTCCCAAATTACTGACTGTTCTGCTACAGATGCTTGCAAATGAGGGAGCTGGCTCCATGAACACAGTAGATGTTTGAGCAAGCCGAGTACCTCCCTGGCCAGTCCGTGTCAGCTTAAGCTGAAGCTCAAGCCATCACAGCCCAAGATAATACTTCAACATAAAAGTTCTTCATTTCCTTTTATTCTTAACTGTCAAGACCTTTGCCCTCCCTTAGTTGCATTTGCAAGGTTTCCCTAAGAAATCTGTTCAGAATCTGTCAGCTATTTTCTTTTTGTTTTCCACATCCAGGGAGCCAGGCACATGAAAGGAATTCATCTGGATTAATCTCCAGCTCTTTTAACAAAATGTGAAACTTGAGATGAGAATATACTGTAGCTTTTAAGCTATGCTTAAAAGTGAGTGAGGAAGTTATTGTACAGATGAAGTATGTATCTTTATACATTAATTTTATTTTAAGAGAAGCTGAATTGCATCACATCAGTGTGGGGAATACCAGTCCAGACAACGTGCTGTGTGAACAGCAGAACTTGCTGGGCATCTTTTGTTTTCCCAGATTTCTCATTTGCACATTTTGACTGCAGAGTCCAGGATACTGTGCAATATACTGTCCTTTTGGCAGCCATTCCTGCAAATGCTCAGCATGGATAGTGATGGTCACTCTCACTTCAGTGCTAAACTCAGTCTCCCTC